ACTCTTTATCCAGCTTGGTTTTCAAACAAAAGAGATTGACTGCTTCCATTATTATTAGTGAATGTATATGTATATGCACTGTAAGCCATCCAGACACTCCACAGGAGTAGGAGGTGACATATTAATGCAAAAATAAGTAAGTCTACAGAAAATCTACTATTTTGGCCCTAGTGTCTCACTTAAATTTACTACTAGACAGCTTACATCCATTTTTCTCATAGTTACATTTCCTATTAACTTAAGGAGGCACATTTCAAGCGGTGAACAAAAGCTGGATAACGTGAAGAACAGACTTTTTTCCTTACTGATGTATGCAAGGCTGGCATAAAAGATGCATTATGAGCTTAAAGTTGCAATTCTCCTAAGGCTTCTTTGACCTCTTTGTTCTTATGTATGCCTGTGTGTCTGTGGTCCTCCTTCTGGCTGGCTGAACACAGAAAGTAGCATCTCAGCTGATGCATTTCAAAAAATAAGTCTTCTGCTTCCTGATCATCCAGCCAGAAGGAAAGCCTGGCATTGAGACTTCACTGTAGAGAAAGAAGGTCAAGGAAACCTGCGGGAATAGCACCTCAGCCTAGATTGCAATGTATCTTTTATACTGCATGGCATACTTCTGTGAAGTGCCTGATTTGCCAGTGTAGGAGCTGGGAGGGTTGGCGGACTGTTTTTACATACTGGTTAAAGTAGTTTTATAGATACCTACTGATATATTTCTGAATATCTCCACCACACTGGAGTTAATGCTGAGTGGCAATTACAATCGTGCTTAGCTTAGGCAGCCATTGCCCATATTGAGGTCAAATATATCCACTTTACACTGCAGGACATGCTACTTCTAACACAAATCTTTACCTTGAATATTAGTAGTTTTGGCTATCTATCTAGATTACAGTATTCTATAAACTCCTGATAAAATAGCAATAAAGCTAAGGTTTAGTGTACATATTTTGAAGTACAGTTAAGTGGACGGCAAACATTTTTATCTGTGCACCATTAGTTTGGGATGCATCTTACAAAACAGACAACCAAATAGGAGCCAATTTGGCCTAACAGCTTAGGACTTGTAATGGCATTTCATAAAGAACGAAAGAGTTTTTAGGCATCAGCAAAACAAATTAGAATGGGCCTGAAAGGAAATGTGGCCTTGAACATCGTTGTCTTGGTGTGAATCAAATAAATACAATTTTAAAATACCATCCTCAATAGGATGGAAAAGGCAGTTAGGTTTATACCATAACTATGTTTGATTAGCGGTTCCATATTGTTTGAGGACAGAGAGTGTGCTTGTAAGATGATCTATAGTTAACAAAGTAGCAGGTCCAAGTAGATTAAATGGGAGCAGTCTAGCTACAGGTGACAAGCCTTAAGTATAAGATCTTTTAATCTGCTAGCTGAGCTCACTTCTTCCTGGATTGAAGAGTCTGCCTTCCAGGTGACAGCCTTTTGGCAACAAGGTATCAAAGGATGCAAGTTGCTTGTTGATGCCCTTTGCTACTGTGGATCAACCCCTTATGTTGACCCTCTTTATGGGCTCTGATGAATGCTATATAAAGATCTCTGTTGTGGTCAAAAGTCCTGATGTAACTTAATAAATAAGGAAATGAAACTTTTGATCAAGTGCAATTTTTCCTTCACTACTACTAGAAATGCTAGCTATGCTTTAGAAGAAAGAAAAGACAAACTAGAAAACAACAAAAGCATTACTATTTTGTTTTGTGTTCTGTACCACAAATCTGCATTCTCTCCTCTAATCAGAATTGAAAATCTACAATGCTAAGTGTAGCCCTACGCATTTTCACAATTTCGTTGCATATGTTAAGAGAGCTCATCCAGTGTTTGGTTTGAAAATCAGAGCAAAGTAAAGATTTCTGTTATCACTGGATTACAGATTTGACTACCAAAAGCACAGTTGTCATTTCTTTAAAGGTTAGTTGCGAAATCCCAGTTTGAAACTTTATTTTTCAGATTGCAGGAAGATGAAAAGAGCGATACAGTTCAGGAGATATCAACTGATAAGGCTCTGGCTTTTCAAGTACAAGAAATGTAAGGTACAGCAAAGAAGTGCTACCAACACTGAAGTTAAAAAGACATTAAAGGATATCAGGTGGGAGTGTAAACTTGAGTCTACAGAGACAGCTGAAATAGTATCACTGTAACCAGCCATGGTAAAGATAACAAAACAAATAGACAGCTTTCAGACCCATCACTGTGTACCACAGAATGCTGTCTGTGTTCCTACTTATCTCTCTACCATCACAATTCAAAAGGCCTATATAACTATGAAAACTGGTCTTTTTCTCTTAATTGAAAGACGATGTTATCATCAATAAAGTAAGGCCAAAGGAATTCAGTTCTGAGGCAGTATTTAACTGCTGTCTGAGATTGTCTACAGAGACTAAACTTGGGTTATTTCCCCAGAAATAAGTGGTAGTATCAAGGAATGAGTATAGATGCTTTGCAATTAGTTACACGTCATGGTTAGAGCCAGGGGTCAGACTAGATGGCCCAGGAGACCCCCTTCTAACACATTCTGCTTCTATGTCACTTACTACATTTCTATACCACCCAAAAGCTGCAGCAATGTTTGCTTTGTTCAGACAAGCTGTTCTTTAACCAGGTATGCTTATGAAGTTTTCTCATCTGCAGAGCTAAAAGTATAGTCATAATAAAGCAGAGCTGCTCATTCTACCTTTCAAGTGGCACAGGGCTGATATGACACAGAACAGATGGCTGCATTCAGAGTTCCTCCTTACATGTTTCTTTTTGCACGAGGGCAGAGATCCAGCAAAGGCCTTTGTTGGTGGAAGGATGGGGAGCTTGGATGATTTGATTTTTTCAGATCTCCCCCCTTTGCAGATTCCTTCCATGCTACCTCACTATATAGTACAATACTTAACCCACCAATTCGTTTTCCAGAGGGTAGAAGGGGAAGGAGGGATCTCTAAAGATTGCTTCCTGATTATAGATTTAAAAAATAAGACACAACATTAGTTCTATTCAAAATAATGCCGAGAGGGTAGTCTAGAGCAGTGGTTTTCAGGCACTGGTCCACGGAAGATTTCTTGTCAGTACTTTGGGGGAGTGGGAAGGATTTGCATCCCACTTGTCACGGACAGGCGTGGGGGCTGGCTGTGCTCCCCCAACTCTTCCTTGGTTGACACTGCATTTGTCGGAAGAAGTTGCCAGGAAAAGGAGAGACACCTCGGTGGGAGCTGGCTGGGAGCCATGCTGTGCCGATTTGGGCATTTTGTTCTTTTGTTGGCATTTTTTGGTATTGTGTTTGGAAACTAATACACAGAATACTGTAAAACATGTATGGTGCTTTTTGTTTCTGCCTCAGTGGTCCCCCAGGTGGTTTTCCTGGTTTTGCCGGTCCCCAGCTGAGGAAAGGTTGAAAACCACTGGTCTAGAACACTTATCTTTTAAAACAGCTATTTAAGACTTTGCCACCTTCTCTTTCAAGCACCTCGTATCAGAAACTCAGTCACTAATAATATTAAAACAAGGACAAGCCCCCACACTTTCAAAATAACTTTTTTCAGAAACTGTGCAACATCTTTTGAAAGGGAAAGACTTGCAACTCCTTAAGAATTTGAGGAACTCATGATTAGGGCAAAATTAAATAAGATGAAGTGGTCCCTGTCACATAATGCTTTTTCTAGGATTGCTGTGGATGTTGTCATGACAACTGGGTAGGAGAAAGGGCCACCTGGAGCTTCATGAATTTGGCCATTTCAAATGGGCAACTTAAAATCAGTTGCATTCTGGTCACAGAGGAAAGAGAAATGTTACTGTCTGAAATAGTGGAGTTGAGCTATTTGACTGTTCATGACCATGTGAAGTGTGGGAGGTGAGAGGTGTTTTTTGCTAGCTGGGCTACAGAAAGGAGGCTTCAAAGATTGCAGCCATTTCTGGAGGGCAAGAGCTGTTTTGAGTCTCAAGTGAAAGGGATTATGAGGTGGGTGCCAGGTGCATTCACATAGCTGTGATTGGTGGAGCATGTTAGCAAAAGAGTGTATAATCTTAAAAGTCTGGAAATCACTGTGCATTATATACTAAAAAATAAATCCACCATTTTTATTAATTTGCTTCAGATGTTCCATATACAGAGGAGCAATAAATCACATAGTGCTTGAACTATTTCAAATCACAGCAGAGTGTAACAAAAGAAACATTTTTCATATGGCAGCATTGGAATATATTGAGATGTGATGGGAATGTTCAACACTCACAAGCACTGTAGCATCACAATCTTTCTGACAAAACACATATGCCAGAATAAAAATAGCCACAGTCACCTTCATAAAACATCTATCAACACCCACACATGCTGCATGCACAGCTAATGATTAAAGCAATTGTGTCGCCTCAAGTTTAATGGAAAATATATATATTAAAAATGATACAGGTTTTCTGTCTGAATTAACAACCCATACATCAACACTGTCAGTTTTAAGTTTTTATTAGACTTGTACGTAATAGGCTTTTTGATGACCACTCTGTGAGGTGGGCATAGAGTGGGAAACCACATCTTAATTTCCTGATAATTATTTAATTCCCTTAGAAAAGATGGTGCACTACCAATACCATTTCAGTCCAAACAATTGCTTTCAATGCCATTGATTATATCAGAAATTGAGGAAATATTTATATTTGAAATGTTAGCCAGGCATAGTGGAAACGGAAATGGTCAACAACAGATTTTCGGGGGGAGGGTGGTTGAATAATTTTGACAACATCCTGCTTCATATATAATATGTTCATTACAATATATATTTCCCTTAGGATTGCATTGTTATCTCAAAGCAAGCCTGTAGTTTGACAACACAAAAGTGCATTTCCAGAAAATGGAACAACCAGTGAAACATGGTGCGAGAAGTAACAAAATAAGATGTGTATATAGCATTGATGTAAATGGAGGCAGGCAATGGTGAAAGTGAGGAGCTTGAGTGAAAAGTGTGAGAGAGAAAAGGACAGATACCTACCCCAACCTGCGCTATCTAGCTATCGCCCTGTGGACTTACAGTATCACCAATGGGCTCACCAAATGGATCACTGTTGGATGAGGCCTGAGATCCATCAGGCTAGAACACAAGAACATAACACTTTTTTTTCTCAAGAACAGAAAGGGAAACAAAACCAGAGGTTACTTTTATGTTATGAATTCATTTCACCATGTGTGCCTGTTGTGAATTAAAACTCACAACTGGCCCATGTATCCCTGCCTTTATGGAGCCATTTGTCCCCATGAAAGCATGTGCACACATGCGTGTGTGGGATATTTATTGAGCTTTGGGCTGGGTAGATGAATTCCGGGGCACACGTCTTTTCTTTCCAAGAATGCAGAAGGGAACCACAATGCAATATTGTTCCCATGGGGGACCAGTGCCAAGCTGCTGTGTATTGTAAAAGAGAAAGAACGCAAACCACGTGTCCACCTTGTATTTAAATGTGAGACCACCCTCCAAAAATATTAGAAATATTCCCAAACTCTTCCCAAAAATTAATCCAAACTCTAGCTGGTGTTTTTGTTTCAGCATTATGGAAATCATTAAAAGGCCACAGAAGGCATCTAGGGCCATCTGCTGTCAGAATGCCAGCAAATTTTAGAGGTCCTGGGTAAGACAGCAGACCGATTTGAGGCCAAAGAAATATTTATTTATTTTATTTATTTTTCAATTTATATCCTGCCTTTTTCCTACAAAGGGCTCACGGCAGCTTACATCTCCTCCTCCATCTTATCCCCTGTGAGGTAGGTTGGGCTGAGAGTCTGTGACTGACCTAAAGTCACCCAGTTGGCTCCATGGCTGAGCGGGGACTAGAACCCAGACTGTCTGAGTCCCATGCTCTTAACCACTGCACCACACTGGCTCTTCCTATATATTCACAGGAATATATTCCTGTGCATTGCAAAGGTAGCAATAGCTTTAGACTTGGACGTGATCAGATGAATGCCTTCAGCTGGTTTCTGCTTTAAGCCCGATGAACTAGGAGTTCCGGTTCATGAGAAGCACTTGTTACGACCACATCTGACTAGTCACATACACATGATTTTGCAGCAATGTGCGAAGCAATCTGGATCTGTGCATAGCTTGTTGCGAGTACAAGCAAATGTTAACACGGCCATAACAAATTCAGCATCGGGCTGCCCCAGCATTTGTGAGGTCATGCTTCTGCTGTTTCCTTGCAAATGGGACAGGCACAGAGTCATGCTTCAGCTGTGGAGTTCATTATTTGTGCTGTTGTCCTAAACTAAACTATATGGTTCAACTGTGCAGCTACATTTCTCTATATCCCTGTCTGCCCAGGCCACAATCTAGTAACCTGTTTCATTGTTGTTGTTAATTATTTTGTCATTGTCCTGTACTTGGATCCCTCTTTCTAGTCAGTCCCTCTCCCTGCTTTGCCCAGACGCTTATTTGGAGAAAGCAGAAGGAGTAGGCAGGTATCAGTAAATTCGACAAATTACAATTTGGGTTGGAACTCTAGCCATTGCCTGTAACTTCATCCTCTCTGCCCGCCCTTGTGGCAGGTATGGTGGGAGCAGGCAGGTCTGGTAAGACGTAGGCAACATCAGGGCAACTAATAGTACAAGCAAGTTGCTTAACCCCTGTAAATAATGGCAAAGATGTATAGAATAGGACTAAGAAATTCTACTTCTTCTACACATCTCACAGTCTATTTAATATTATATTTCAAGGGAGCTATAGAAAATATTTTATCAGCTGGGCATGTTAACTTTGGAACCTGTGAACTGTGTGAAGAGTAATGCCAAAACAAATTAGAATTACAAATGCATGATTTGGAGCTGTGCCTTACCGCTTCTTGTTCTTCACTTTTGCTTGGACTTTCAAAGCCCTCTTCAAAGAGGTCATCTGTAGCAGGGTCACTGGTATGAGACGCTGAGGATTTGGATGGAGAACTTTGCCTTGGAGCAGGAGTTGGAGCTAAAGAAAGACAACAGGAAAGATTTGCATTGAATGCACTACTGAATCCTAAACATCATCTGAGGATGTTTTGATGAGCAGTCTGGGAAGGCTGCAAATAGGGATGGATTTCCTTTCTTTGATCATCTGTTCATCTACTCATTGATTCCTTTTATTCTTAGGAAAAGTACAGCATTTTAAAAGTCTCTAACAATTTACATAACTTTTGTTTGACATATTTTTGTTAGTAGCTGCACATAGATCTCATAAAACCGGCACAGCAGAGACTGTAAGGTAACCAAAGATGCATAAAACCTTCAAGGGGGGTGGGGGGCAAGTTAAAAAGGCATGTATATCAGCATACTTTTTACTAACTCTCATACAACTAATTTGTGTACAATCCTGGGAAGTATTTTTTTTATGGCCCAAGCCCACAAAACCGTGTGACCTGGGATGATGCTAGTCTACTGCTGAATCAGGTGGGATTCACAGAAGTCCAAGTCATCTGACTTTGAGATTTCCGACATCCCAAGCTGCAAAGCTGGTGCGACTGTGTGGTGAAGGGAAATTGTTCAGCACTTGACAAAACTCTGGCAAGACAAAATTCCTTTTGGATTTCCCAAAGTGCTTTGGAGACATTGAGTTTAAGAGTTTCATGAGTCTCAACACAGTAAGATTTAAATGTGGACTTTCAATTTTATTTGTCTTTTGCAAAATTTAGTTATCCACTTATTAGTCATATGACAACTATATCAGCAGAACGTGCCCTTGTTCTATTTTGGTTTTTATCTTTGCAGAAGTAACAATGCATTTATCTGAAAACCTTTAAAATAAATTATATAAATATATAATCTTGATAGGATTCTACATAGAATTCTACATTGTTCTTTATAATCTACTGATAACCACTAAGATATTGTTCTGTACAAGCTATGATATTAAATCAACTCAAAAAATAGTAATAGTATACTGAAATGTAAAGTAAATTATGTGGAATCATCAGAAATATACAGTGATTGTATCAGTGTAGCAGTGACCCAGCACAAATCACCACAAGTGCCAACCAAATCCACGATGAGTTCATATCTGGAAAAGGTTGCTCCCCTGAATGAAAATTCTCTCATCAACATTTTTTTTTTAATTTAGGGTTGATTCACACAAAATGTTTTTGCAATCATGTAATTGAGGTTATCAGGTAGGGTTCAGAGTTATATATCCAAAATCAGCAAGCAAAATCATTAAGCGCAGTTACCACTGAAAAATGATTCACTGACAACAGTGATCAGAATCCCAGAAGTCAATCATTCAAGCCAGTTTCTATGCCTATTTGACATGGGACTATACTGTCTTTTGAAAATAAAAAATAAAGTAATACTGTTAATTAATTATACATGTCCAAGGATTTGATGTGCTTATCCTTATGGTCATGTTTCCCAGCCTCAAAGACAATGAACTTATTTACTTTTAACTTAAACACATGGACATTTTTCATAGCTTCACTGCAGTCAAGCAGGGAAACATCGTGTGGAAACTTGCAGGAGAAAAAGCGTGTGTGGGGATACTCACGTGAGTTCGTCGATGGCGTTGTAGAAGTCACAGGAGTCAAATTTAACTGAGAGATGTCAAATTCATCACAATCATCTGCTTCCTGTGCCATCCCAACTTTGTTAAAGTAACTGGAGAAGGCCTCTGAGGTACAACTGAGGGAAGGCTGATCTGGTTTTCGTGATGGCACTGGCGGAGGCTGAGCCATCTGGAAATCTTTGAACATGTCTTTTCCTGCTTGCTGTCTAGGCCTATCTGCCTGTGGACTTGGTCTGGCGGAATCGCTTGCAGGTGCAACAGGAGCAATGGGAGCCACGGTACCTTGAAACACAGCTGCTTGTAAAGGCAAAACAGTTTGTGTTGGCATGAAGGCAGCAGGCTGAAACTGACCAGCTGCAGATGGCCATGGTTGCTGGGTGGGAGAAAATATCCCAGGCTGCCCCCATGCAATTGACTGTCCTCCCTGCATCACCTGAGCAATTGGAGGCTGAGCACCCATGGCCAGTTGTTGTGGAACAAGTGGTTGTTGTCCCCAGAAGGAGGGCAGGACAGCTCCCATTGCAACATAACCTTCAGGGGAAAGAGAGGGGGCACAAGTTCAGAACCGGAACAGCAAAAACAGGGCAGCCAAGGAAGAAACGTTGCTACAGATACACAATGGAGGAATCACAGGCCTTCGTGGTGGAATAATTCGCTTTGCTATCTGCCCTAAGAGCTCCATTAAATGTATGGCGAAGGTTGCGAAGACAAGGGAGATGGCTTGGGATGAGACAGTTACTGGATTGTGTGCAAAGCGGAACCTAGTTCAACGGCACTACACTCCCGACTAAATAATAGCAAGAAAAGGCTGTTCCTCTGTCCCCGCCCCCTGAAATGGGCTCCTTTGTTTCAGAGTATTTGGAATGCTCATTCAGCCAGCCAGCCGGGCACAGACCAGCACTTACTTGTACTTTCCTTCCAATATTTTTAGCTTCATGAGCAGCTGTGAGCAGCTCAGAAGCTTGCTTTATTTTTGTCTTTTCAGCAAGTTGGTTAACAAAGTCTTTACCTCTCTACATACACCACAATTCAACACATCTAAGATCTTTTATTTTCCAAGTTTCCCTTAACCATTTGTTCCTGGCAAACCTAGCAAGCAAAGGCATTTAAAAGAAGAACATTATTCCATGAGCCCTGCAGTACATTTGTTACTGAAATGACCATCCATGTAGACCTCTGCTATTCTTTTTTTATTGAAACCAGAGAGTCTCTCATTAACGCCTTGATTTCAGCAGCTGCAGTTATCACACAAAACAGCAAAGGTCTCCCTGTATAGGAGAATGCCAAGTACATATCCAGGACTTTGAGCAATGTTAGGAAGCTGTGAAAATTCACACAAGCAGTAGACAGACAACATTTTTCACAGAGCTGATGTATCATCACTTTCTGAGGTGTAGGCACATGCACACATAAACACAAACACACAGTTCTTTTTGTCCTGGTCAAGCACTTTTTGCAGGTTTGTGAATTGCTAGAAATAACCTGTAAAGTGTGTTTGAATTCACACCATGCGGAATTGTGTGCCTTACCTCAGCCTTGAAGAATGGTTGGGCATGAGAGCAGAGTTTGCACATGGCCTCTCGCTATAAGTGAGATCAGATGTTGGAAGCAAACCCCATGACACTAATCACAGGGGTAGAAAAGCCTATAAGGCTGGGCTCTGCCTCCTCTCTTCAGCTACAGCTTCTAAACCAATCATTTGAGGCTGAGAGTCTAAGAGATGGTTTGAACCATGCTTGAAGTTCTTCTGACTCACACCAATTCAAAGCAACAAGGCTATGTGTCCACTGAACAGACAACCTCTAAACATATAATTTACTCCATTAGGAATGGAATTTATGAGATGGCATTCTAACTTTCTATAGAACCTTTAAACCTTTAATTCAACAAAGAATGGCCCATTTACAACCCAGGCTGGTATGTCATTATTGCGGGGTCCAGATGCAATCACAGCTCTTCCATATCACTGAAGAACTCCCAACAACTATCATCTATTTCCATTCTCAGTGAAACACAATAGGTATAATTTGCTTCATTAATTAACTTGAATAGAAATAGCAGTCATGTGAGGTTTTCTTCCAGTTTAGCCTTAGGCTTGGTGAAGAGAAAATATTTGAATGTCTGTGGTGAAGGTTGTATTAGGAAGGGAATATCTCATATCCTTCTTGAGATTTTTTTTAAATAGCCAAAAGATCCATTAGCTTGCAAAAACATTTTGTATGAAACCCTGTTTTCAATATTTTAAAGGTATCATTTTTAGTCTTCTATGCTTCAGCTGAGGTTTCTTTTTGTTAATTCAGTATACTTAAGATGGGAAAATCTCTCATTTTACAAGCAGCAGAATCTACTCCTCAAACCCATGCCAGGCTGCTGAAGTAGTACCCATACTTTATAATAGATATTTGTAGGCATTTATTTACTTTACTTTAGATGTTGCAGCTCATGAGAATCTCAGCCAGGAGTTAACTTGGGCCTTGGACTGAAAATGGCACATCTGCCTCCCATTTCTACCTAGTGGGAAATATAAGGAAAATGGCTTGGGAGTAGGGCATCTTAAATATTGTCTCCTTGCACATAAATCTACCAAGAGCCTAAATTTACCCTCTAGGGCCCTGTTATGGGTCCTACCACCTGCAAAGGTGAAGTTGGTGGAGACCCTTCTGTGCTGTAGAACATCTTTCCCAGGGGGGCTGTGTTGCCCCTTTTGCTAATCAACTGGACAGGCAATAGTGTTCCACAAAGCTTGCAGTCTATTAAGGTACAATCCTAGGCATGTTTAGACAGCAGAGGTCCTACATGCCGTAGGGAAAAGAAGGTTGTTGGGAGTTGGATGATTCCTCCCCGTCCCACAAGGATGCATAGGATTTCTCCCAAATGTGCTTTCTTGATTTTATAGCATTCTTCTGCTGTAATACTCATTTAATTCTATTCCATTTCTATATTATTTCCAGTAGTCAAAGTTCTCTGTGTAGTCTACAAATATTACAATTTAAAAAATACAATATTGCTTTTACAGACAAACATATAGACTCGCTTTCTCTCTCATTACATACACACACAACTTTAGCAATCAACAGTAAGAGATCACAAGACCCAATTCAAAACCTTATCATACGCTGCCAAATGCCTGAGAATATAAGAAGGTCTTAACCTGCCAATGAGAAGTTAACCGTGTTCACACCAAGCAGGCACCAAGCAGCGTCTGGGGAGACTGTTCTATAATTGGAGAAGCTTTGCCATTGTTTTCCATTTCAGTTCAGAAATTATTTTTTAATGCTTGTTTTGCACATTGCTTCAAACACTTAATTTATAAATAAATAAGCAATATAAAAAGTCATAACTTATCCTGTGTGAGGAAAACAGCTCACACAAGAGAAAGCATGATTCTCTTTATTCATCAGACTGGGACTATATCCATAATCTCCTAGTCTGAACAAGGAAGAGAATTGTTATTCTACATGTATGTGGTGAAAAATGCAGGGGGTTCCTATATATTATTCTTAACAAGATAAACTTGTAGATATCCAAGCACAGCCTACTGAAATCTCAAAAGCCAGCTGGGGGCTTAATAACATCTAAGTCAGGGAAAGAGGCTTCAGATCTGTGAACTCCTCTTTAATCTCCCTCAAATTCTTAGAAGAATAATTTAATGTATGTGCCTATACTCATATGAACTTTCTCTTCATATTTTATTCAGGGCATAACATTTAATTTATCTTAAAGGAAAAAAAATGGATATCCAGAATGGTTCTGGATAATTTGCACTATCATAGTGGAATTCTAGTAATGTTTTTCAAAACAAACATGGGTTTCCATTGTGTTCCATTCTTCAGGGCAGGTAACAATAGTAGAGAAATAGATTTCAAAACAGTTGCTGACCAATTCAAAAGCATCAACAGAGAGAACAAATTAATTGTATCCAAGCTTTAAAACTGAAGCAAAGTATTAAATTATCATCTACATCAGGGACCCTGAAGAACACTGAAAAATGTCCTAAAAAATCTTTGTATTTTTGAAAAAAATCTTGTGGCCACTGAAACTCCAGCGAAATCAGAAGAGAGAACAACAGGAGCCAACTGGGTGACTTTGTGCCAGTCACAGGCTCTCAGCCCAGCTTACCTCACAGGGTGGTTGATGTCAGGATAAAATTGAGAGCAGGAGGAGAATAATGTAAGCTGCTTTGAGGTTTTTTTCAGTGTACGAAAAAAGTGGGCGATAAATCCAATAACAAACAGATTTTGTGGGCCAAACAAAGAAAAGTTACTGTTCCATTGTCTTCTGATAAATATGAAAGGATCAGAGAGATTTTAACCAAAGGGTCTGATTCTGAAAGGCTTCCCAAAATGTGCAAACTGTATCCATTGAAAAACAATGTATGTGAGATGATGTAAAACTCTGTCTGTTGTGTTAAGGACAGTCAGCCAGCGATTTATGAGCACACATGTGTGAATCAGCACTTAGTTACTAACACTATAAATCTACAAGGCTTTACTCTCCGAGTTTATGAATGTTCTGCTTTTGAGCAGAATCGCGTAAGTCTCATGTCTTACTGGAGGAATGCTCTGGAGAGAAGGAGTTCCCAGAGACAAACAGCTTCAAACAGCCACCCATTCCAGAGCACTGTGGACCTCTGGGGAGATGGTTGTAGGTCCATCTCTACAAGAACAGCTCAACTGCACCACCAAGACAGCAGCTATCTATCTATCTATCTATCCCCAGGGAGACCAACATCGCAAGAGACAGGCTGGAGAAGACCTTGCGGGCGTACAGTACCTATTGGTAGTAGTAAAGCTTCTTCTAAAGCCCAGTGCTACAACACAGCCCTGGGTGGGGCTGGAGGCTTCAGACCACAAGCCTAAGGAGGGGAGACCACCTGAACATCTTACTTCATCTCCTGATGCCTTGAAACCTTGCCACTGGCCCCTAGGTGACTGACAAAATCCTGTTTCTGGGGCCTCTTTTTAGACTGGACTGCTTCTCCTATTGACTTTGTACCTCTGAGATCGATGTGCTCCATAGGCTGCTTCAGAACCAAGCCTCAACCTGTCACAGCAGGACAGTATGACTTTCCCATTAAGATCACAGATGCCCAGTTGAATAGCTTGATGTGAATAACTCACCTGAGGGTACAGCAGCAGGGCTGTAAGGTACAGAACTAAAAACCTCTGCACCGGCAGGAAGTGACTGGGATGAAGATGGGATAAAGGCATCACCTGGAGTTGCAGGGGTCTATAAAACAAGGCAAGATTGAATGCACTGATAAATATGCTCAGTGACACATCAGTTGCTGTGTGCTGCCAGGAACTGGCTCCAGATTCTCTTTCCCAATTAAAAGAGCTAGCATGCGAAAGAGGAAAACACGAGGTGGGTGATGGGTGGAATAATAATAGAGAAGATGTAGATGTGAGAGAGGTGGAGAAGAAAACAGCAGCAGCTAGAAACAGGATGAGAAATGGTACGAGACAAAATTCGTTAGAATTTGTCATGTACTCAATAAATTTAAAGTGTTTTTTTTCCCAGCACCTAAGATATATGCAGATTCTTACAGCACCTGTTTCCTCATAAAGGTCTAAGGCTTTGTGATTTTAATAGCTTCACAGGGGATCAGTGTAAGCAATTAGTGCTGAAAAAGTAGAAAGGTAATGAGCGATTTTACAGAGGGAAAGATTCAAACTGGGTAATATGATTGCAAACCTGTTTGAAATTCTTTCTGCTTCAGTATGGGGCATTGTTTCTCATGAATATCTAAATACATTATACTGCTACAAGAAGTTTACTTAAAATGGCATGCAAGAAAGAAACAAGACATGCATTACCAGTACTTACAGGGGGAGAGGTTACATCGGGAGGAGTGGACATGTCCCCAAACAACTCTAGCTGGGGAACAGCCTGCAAAGAATTTCAAAACAGGAAAGAGTAAGGCATTTTCTTATCCGCTGAACAACAAGGATAGACTTGCAGTGAAAGGTAAGCATTACTCCCCCAATATTTTTTTTACATTCTGGAGTAAACTATCTGGGCTCTGTCAGTTTTCCTACTTCATGTCTCTGAGACAAAGCTTAAAAGCCTAAAAAAGTTGTTTCTTTACACTCTGTCAACCAGTATCTTCCCTTTATAATACTAAAGATAAAAGGGATATTTTTAAAACTTACCATAAATGTCCTAGAAGGTGTCCAGAGGATATACTTTAGATGTGACATATTAACACCTCTTGGTCAGAACACAGGAACAGTTCTCTTATTTTTATTACTCTTCTTAATGCTGACATTTCAACGTATTTCTGTTTAGTTGGATCTTTAGGAAGACTATCTTATTTTTTCCTTTCCCTTTTTCTTAGTCTCATTCAGTCTCAGGCTTTCTGTCTCACCACACTAGCTAGGAAAGGCCATCCACAAGGAGACCTTAACAGTTAAAGCATCTTCCAGAAGAAAGAATACTAACCAGAACCTTCTCCTAGAAACCCATGATATGCAGCTGTTATAGGTCAGACTGTAGGCTGCTAGGTGCAATTAAGGGATATAGCCAAAAGCGAGTTGCTAGACAACTGTCAAGGTTGTTAGGCATGCTAGCCAACTCTGGGAACTAGTTACTTCTCAGTTAAAAGAAAGATAACATCTGCTTGTTGATCTGAAATCAGGTACATAAGCATAGCAATAGGAAGCTCAAGAAGAGACACAGAGAGACCCTACTAGTTTTCTGTCCTATAGCATGGTCTCATATGCCAGAAGGAGGACAGTGAAGGAGACAAAGCCCATAAAAGCCCATATGGGATGCTGTTCCTAAGTGGAAATTAAGGGTTGAAGACTCAAAATTGGAGATGGATTAGAAATTTTTAAACAAAGTATATTTATACAGGATACATTTGTGCGCCAAAATCTGCACTTTTGGGGATTTTGTGATGCAGTTTGCAAATAAAAATGCGCAAATAGAAGATAAGTATACTATAAAATGCCTATATTAGGGCATTCCATCACTTACAGAAAGTGTTATATGGACATATTAGAAGAAAGGTGCACAATTCTTACTTTATAAAATGAAATTAAACTTGTGCAGAAACAGGCCAAAAGTCATGGTTGGTTGCAATAACAAGAAACTGAGCAAAATTAAAATGGACAGATTCACACATCCCTATTCTAAAGTGGTACATATCAAACCTTTAGTAATTACAGATTACTTAGGGTGTGTTGACTACAGATGGGTGTTTCAATTTATTCCTAGAACAGGGCTTAGGAACAGGCACCAGAAGGGCTATGCAAAGGAAAATTGTAATTGAGGGAGTTAAACACCGGGTGGATTTGAATGTTCATGACAATGATCCTGGCACCCAGACTTACTATAATGACTAAACACCATCCTCCACTATCTTCTGCCAAGTTATCTCCCATTAATGTATCCTGCATCAAGGCGACCATGCCTGTAATCTTTTTCACTAAAAACTGCTCATTTTGCAGTTCCCAAAACATCTGAAGGTTTGCCCTTGACATATGTCCTTGAGTTTTGACTGTATAATGAGAATTTTGCTTCTCATAGAAGTGATTCAAACAACATAAAGAAACAGAAGTGAGCAGAAGATAAGCAGAAGGTTGTACCCAAACCCAGACTCTCACTAGTAGAAAAGGAATATGTATAATCAAAATGATTTTTAAAGCCTGCTAAAGACAGAGTTCTAAGGCACTCCACAGGAATCCTTCTTCCTACCCAAGAGGCAGGGTGCATGGAGTGTTTCCTGGAGGTAATGTCAGAAGACTGACGATGTCATCTGAGTGGGAAGTGACATTAGATAAATACCAGGCACTCTAGTCTTCTTAAGGAAACCCTCACTTTGAAAGGGCCAATATTAATAAGGGTCCTTTCTTTGTTTCCTCATCCAACATCTGTCAAACTATCCACATTTTTAGTGCAAAGTGGATGGCCTGCTGACAAATAGCTGGAAGTTATTTCTTCATCAGAAAAATATCTGCTAGGTGACCCTAAAATAGCACCAAACCATTAAAAAATTCTGTGGGCAGGGAAATATTTAGAAGGTATATAGATTTTTTTAAATGAGCAATGTGTTTCACATATATTTATCTATAGAACAATCCTGTACAGTGGTTGTATCAGTATTATTACTTCACACTGTAGATGTGGGGCACTAAGTGAGAACAGTGTGCCTGTGTTTTGGAGCATTAAGAGCCACCAAAGCACATCAGCATAGCACAGATTTCATCAGATGCGAACTGATAATCCCATATTAAATCTGGGAATCAGATGCAAGATTTAGATCAACATACCTGCAAATTGTGTGTGAGTAGGTGCATTGCGGAAGAACTCTCCAGAGGCAGGAGAGGCATTTGACTTGCACAGACAACAGCAGCAGCAGCCTATCAAACCAACCCTCCATCATAAACTCCCTTAAAAATATTTATGAAATACTACCATTATCTCATTTTCAGGTCTCTCCTGCCCTTCACAGGACCATTCATTCACACCAATGTCCAAAAATTAAAAGAGATTTAAAGAACACATTTCTGTTCTTTGGGGAGAGTATGCCAGGAGCCACAATGCTCAGAAAAGGCTTCCTTAAAATTTGTGCCTTCCAAGCCTGAAGCTCCCTGTGCATTAATTTTAGAGAACAATGTTAACCACCTGAGTTTGAAGGCACTCCAATTAAAGACCCTTGAAATGGAAAAAAGGAGTAAGATCCTTTTTATAGCCTGAAGTCTCTCTCTCTCTCTCTCTCTCTCTCTCTCTCTCTCTCTCTCTCTC